CTTAGCAAAAAAACACCCCCAAAGCAGAATGTTTCCACCACCATGTTTGACAGTTGGGATGGTGTTCTTGGGGGTCATAGGCAGCATCCCTCCTCCTCCAAACATGGCGAGTTGAGTTGATGCCAAAGAGCTCGATTTTGGTCTCATCTGACCACAACACTTTCAACCAGTCCTCCTCTGCATCATTCAGATGTTCAGTGGCAAATTTCAGACGGGCCTGGACATGTGCTTTCTTGAGCAGAGGGACCTTGCAGGCACTGCAGGATTTCAATCCTTGTCAGCGTAGTGTGTTACCAATTGTTTTCTTGGTGACTGTGGTCCCAGCTGCCTGGAGATCATTGTCAAGATCCTCACGTGTAGTTCTGGGATGATTCCTCGCTGTTTTCATGACACTCCACAAGGTGAGATCTTGCACGGTGCACCAGACCTAGGGAGACTGACAGTTGTTTTGTGTTTCTTCCATTTGCGAATGATTGCACCAACTAGTTTGGTAGCCCAGTCCAGCCTTGTGTAGGTCTACAATCTTGTCCCTGACATCCTTGGACAGCTCTTTGGTCTTTGCCATTGTGGAGAGTTTGGAATCTGATTGTTTGATTGCTCCTGTGGACAGGTGTCTTTTATACAGGTAACAAAATTATATTAGCAGAACTCACTTTAAGAGATTGCTTCTAATCTCAGCTTGTTACCTGTATGAAAGACACCTGGTAGACAGAAATCCCGCTGAATGATAGGGGATCAAATACTTATTTCCCTCATGAACATGAAAATCAGTGCATAATTTGTTAGCCATGCATTTCTTTTTTGAATTTTTTGTTACTATTCTGTCTCTCAGTGTTACAATACACTTACTAGTCGATTTGGAGATTGATAATATATTTGTGAGTGGGCAAACATTAAAAATCATCAAGGGATCAAATACTTTTTCCTTCACTGTATATGCATGTGATTTTTTTTCGTTTTTTTATTTTTAATAAATTGCAAAGATTTAAAAACGATTTTCTTTCACATTGTCATTATGGGGTATTGTTTGTAGAATGTTGAAGAAAAAAATGAATTTAATCCATTTTGGAATAAGGCTGTAACATAACAAAGTGTAGCAAAAGTTAAGCGCTGTGAATACTTTCTGGATGCACTGTATATTGAAAGAGAAGATGCTACCATCACTCACGCATGCTTCAAGAGCAGATGAACATCACTGGCAGATGACATGAGATCAGGAAGGCCTTCAACGAGCTCAACCCCCGAAAATGTCTAAACCATTCGGCAACTTGTGCATGATGATTGTCGAAGAACAATCCCCCACATTGCTGCCATTGTGGGTGTGTCATATCCAGGCAATCCTCAAGTGTGATTTGAACATTTGATGTGTTGCTGCCAAATTTGTCCCCAGGCTGCTGACCCAGGAGCAGAAGGAACACCACATTGAAGTCTGTCAAGAACTCCATCAGCGTTCCATGGATGACCCCATCCTTCATGCCGAGGATTATTACCAGTGACGAAACTTGGGTGTATAGATTTCATGCAGAATTTCACATTTGATTTTTGTTCTAACTTGCTGTCCATGATGAAATAGCAGGTGTGGTAATGCACGGGGTCAGAATAGCACCTGTTGCACAGCTCCCAATGTACACAGGACGATGTCTTTTGGCACACTGACTTATGAAGGTTGGTGCTCCCAGTGACTGTTAGTTCAGCCCTGTGCTGTCATCTGTTGGAGTATTACAAAACTAATCTCGAAACATTTTGATACCACCTCATATATACCCACACATCACCCTATGGTAATGCGCCCATTTTCGTTATCAGAAAGGTAGCAGCCCTAGACCCCAATGGGTCCCTACCACCTACAATTGGCATATAACCCATTGGAAGCAATTCTCTCTCTACCCCCACACAGACTAAATGTCTGCCATTCTTAAAAGAATGTGGTTTAAAATAATTTATTATAATGTAGGGCAATTTGTGTGCACAATATTACCACCATGCTATAACAACATTTGAATAAGTTGCCACTTCAATATGCACTAGCATTAAGTATAGAAGCTATTCTCAAAGTACTTTTCCATTGCCTACCCTATCCTTTGTTGAATTCTCTATAGAGCCTAGATGTCTATGTTAAGGTCCTCTAACTTTCTTAATGGAAGGGAAATATCTGGACAGAAAATTGTGAAGAAATAAAAATGAAGTAAAAAAATATGATTTCCATATGAAGGACTGCAAACCTAGTGACATAGCTATAGGAGTCAGTGTTATACCTCATGGCCATCTCTCTAAAGTTAGTGATGATGGAGTATTCACTCAGTATAACTGATCAAAACCATCTGTGCAAATGCAAGATCCATGGTCTATTCTAACCTAATACTACAAATGCTGGAACATAGCGTAGCGCTTTTATGAAATAGGAAGAAGAAATATACAAGTACACATAGCTTGGAATTTTGGACACAGTTACTAGCAATAAAGTTAGATAAACGTTGTTATGAATAGGAAATACGTAAAAAGCTGATATATCAGGACCACAGGACCAGCTATGTACAGTAGGTTAGGGTTAGATAAAGGTCAAAGATACTAGTGAAAAATTTAAAGACTGACCTTTTTGCTATTTTTCTCCAATAAATTTTTGTTTTTAAATAAAAGTGCCATACTCAGGACTAAACATCACTTGTTCATTTCTATAATGTACAATAGAACATATGGGCACTAATCACGTACATCAATCAACACAATATCAAAGAATAGAGTTACAGGGAAAGTTACAGATAAATAAACAATGGCAGGATAGGATTGGGTGTCCCAGGGAGAAATAGAGAGCGCAAATATGTTTTTTAGCCTGTGTTATTCCATATTGACTTCTAGGAGACCACTGCCATAGTCCCCCATCAATTAAGTTCATGTACCTGTGGAAACCATGGAAGGTCACATAGATATTCTACTCTCCTAGGCATCCAGTTAGACCGGAGTCAAGGAGCTGTGAAAAGAGGAAAAGGAAGAGGGAGCAAAAAAAAAACCAGTGTGAGGGTGGGGGACAGGGCTTGTGCAGGAGCAAGCGGTTGGAAGAGTCATGGTGAAGGGTAAAGTCCAAATGGGAATCTAACGCCTATATGGCCTGTACTGATATTTCCATTACCTCAGTAATTCCTTGTGTTGTTACTGTTTTTAAGGGAGATTCATGTAATGAAGAAGATATTGTGCAGGTGTGAAATCCAGAACATTGCTAGGGACCACAGATATAATGTGATGCACCTCTGACCAGCATTGTTGCAGATGCTGGCATTGCCACTACATGTGCACTGACATGCACTTCTAGAGTAGAGTGTGTATCAATTTCCAGTAAATGCACCAAACCTTTTAGATCAGTGTGCCAACAACTACATAAATGCAGAGCAGCATTCACTTAGAAAAAAAGATTGCAAAAAAAAAAAAATGTGAATATACAAAACAAGCCACACTCCATGTGTTCTGTAAATAAGGCAATTCACACCTGTGCCAACTTCTGTGCATTAATAAACTCTTTACCAGAAGGACATGACCCCTAGACCATGAGATCATCAGCACATACTGATAATGTGAACATCACTGGGTTAGCCTCCAGACAGTATGGTATTGATCTCACAATTGCCTCATCAGCCTCAGCACTGAATATGTGCAACATCGGTCTCTAGCGGGAAGCACACTGCAGCTTTTCTTAGCAGAACATGAATTGTGCACTAGCTAATTATATTGAATTAGTTACTTCCATTCACAATCAGGTCCCAAAGGAAATAGTGGAACTAACAGCTTTTTCTTCAAAGCAGAAAAAGGTAGGACATGTGCTCAAGTCCCAGTTTCAGTTGCAACCCAGCTTCAGATATTTTAATATACAGTATATAAAAGTACAAAGTCTATGTCTTTCTCCCAGGACATGTATCCTACCCCTTCATTAGGTATGTGGCTTGTGAAAAGCACATTTTTGGAATTGTGTCTGTGGACATAGTGGACATGTGGAGTTGGAGGCACATAGGGACTTCAATGTGATTTGTTTTTCTGCTTAATGAGGTTTAACTCTTGGCTGGTTCAGAAAGCTCCAAATTTAAAAGTAGACCCATAGGATATAGGGTTCATTTAGGAGGAAGGTGCTGGAAGTTGTTGCAATTACAGAACCGATCTCCACATCAAAAATGTCCTGACAATATTCTAGAGGATTGCCAGCAATCCACTAGAAAGGTTTTGGACATGCCAGGAAATCAGGGTTTACATCAATGGACCCAAAATGGGAGAGATGTGAATCAAATTGCAGGTTTGATGGCATGAGTGAAGTATGGGGCCTATAAAGATATGGTCATTTATAGCTTTCGGGTGGACTTTGGAGTGGATTTAGACCTTTTAAAGATTTGTTCTTGTACATGTCTGTCTTAATGACATTAAATTTCTTTTCGCATAAGTCTTTAAAATATAGAAATATGACTTATTAGAGGCTGATTTTCCTCATTGCTGGCAATAGTGGATACTTTGGCTCAAAATAAAAAGCCAGCCAAAAGTGAAGTTCACCTTTTTCAAGTACAGGCAAAGTGTATATGAACTAACTGCATTGAATTATATACATTTGTGGAAAAAAGGACTGGTTTTAAACACTCTTGTGAAAAATTGAGTAAATGTCAAAAATAGATTTTAAAAGGAAAAGACACTTTGGCAATGGGCTTTGATTTTCCCTTGGCATCTATGAACAAAAAGGAAAACTCTCACTGGAACAAATTTAAATTGGCCAACATCCAGAAACAGAGGTTTTATGAAGCTTAATAAGGTGTAGCATACTTGAGATGTGAATTTGTGCCATCCATAGTTTACAGAAGCTCAAGTCATACTTCACATGCAGACTTTTAACCTTTGATTGTTTGGTGAGTCCTAAAAATAATGTAGATATCTATTAAAGCAGAACTGTGAAAAAGCAGAATGCCTGTGAGGGAAACCTAAAAAAGAAGCTTTTATTCTTTGAAACCTGAGCTGCAGGTGACTTCTGGAACCATGATATGACTTGTAGTCAGGGGTGGACTGACAACTCATGGGAACCCCAGGAAATAGGGGATCATGGGGCCCCTGTGTCCTTGCACAAACTCAAAAAAGCCTATGAAAAAGGTACCATGGGCATCTCATGGGGCTACCTACTGACCCCGGGCCCTCGGGCAGTGCCTGAGTTTCCAAATGGTCAGTCTGCCCCTGCTTGTAGTAATGCCTCACTGCCCCAGAATTGGTGTATATTTTGCAGGTCAGAGAATGGTAGGGTCCCTTTTCTCTCCTAAACACTCTAGTGTCTAAGTTGTTGGGGCTCTCTTTACACACAGTGGGTTTAATTTACAAAAGGCAAATAGACTGTGCAGTTTGTAAGGGAATTTCCACTTAGCCTAGCAAAAGAAAATTCACTTTTCAAAGAATACCCAATAGCATGTTAAATAAATAAACATCATTTTAGCTTGCACATAATTGAGTTATGGAAGTCAGCAGAGCTTGATCTCCTTCACTAAGTTTTGGGGATAATTCCCTTGTGTTACATTTTGCATTATCTATATTTCATATCATCTGTATGCCATCTTGGAGAGTCTGTTCCACAGTATTACTGGAAGATGCTGAATGGGTAGTATCATCTGAGGAAAGTGATGTATTCATTCCCTCTGTAGGAATTCATATTTTTATTCTTTGCTAGGAACTGGGTATGTAATAGGACAGTTCTATCCCACCCCAATACCCCCCCTCTCCTGTTCTTTCATCAGCCACTTGTCACTTGTTTTAAGTAATGCAGCTGTTATCGAATCGGAAGAGAAAACACAGAACATGACTGGGAGGAGCCTTATTGTTCTGTGCAGTGATAGGCTTTGTCCTATATACAAATATAGGGGCATAATAACATATTACCTATTTTCCCATATAGGTCCACATTCCCAGGTGAGAGCTTACAGTGAAAGGTGATGGAACAAGTGCAAGTTACGTTTTTGGATTACTTCACTTGATTTCCTTACTGGCAGATTTGAGATTGATTAAACACATTGGACTTTTAATACTGGGTATATTTTAGTTTTTTGTCAAGTTATGTAACAGGAACAATTTCTATTGGTTACATTATTAATTTATTGAAGCAAGTGTTATTCATAATTTTCAGCGTGTGAGTTATTTTTATATTGTTTTTAATTCTTTGTTTTTTATTTTCTTGTTCAGAAAGGTTAATTGATAACAGATTATTCACAATTGTTCAGTGAGGTTGTGTGGTATTATCAGAACATAAATTACAAAGAAGGAGATGTGAAAAGCTAGAATCCCAGGGCATGGAGTGTACCTGTGCAGTTGATGGAAGACGTTCTGTAAAATAAATAATACATTATGGGGTTAATATACCAAAGTCAGATAGGTTGTTCACTTTGTAACATAATTTGCACTTTGTAAGGTAATTTTTCTCTTAGTTTATTGAATGTGTTGAAAATAAAAAAAAATATATATTTTGCTTGATCATGATTGAATGATGGAAGTCAGCAAAGTGTGACCTCATTCAATAAGAGGAGAAAAATTCACCTGCAAAGTGAAAAATTTCTTTCAATGAGACCAGCCTATTTGTCTTTTAGTAAACCAGCCCCTGGGTGTTCAGGGGCTCAGTCTGTACAATGAGCAAATAGTGGGGTTTATTTACTAGAGCCAGTTCACTAAGAATCTCCTGCACCTGTGCATGGTAGCCAACCAGCTTCTAACCTCAGCTTCTTCAATTAAGTTTTAGCAATAAAACCTGGCAGCTGATTGGTTTCTTTGCAGAAGTGCACAAGATTCTGAGTGAACCAGCGTGCCCAAATAGTGGGAAACTCAAATAGAATTCTAGAGTTTATCACTAGAGAGATCACCAGCAGGAGGAAGGATGTCCTGATTCCTCTATAGATCTTTACTTTGACCTAATTTTGAAAATTATATCCAGTTCCAGACAAAAAAGATATTGACAAGAGAGTACAAATTCGGAGAAGGCAACAAAAAATGGTGGCAAGTCTGAGGGATAAAACATATCAGGAAAGACTTCAGGAACGTAATATGTACAGTCTGGAAGGAAAGAAGGGAGAGCAGAGATATTATTGAAAACTTTAAATGCATAAAAGATTTGAATAAGATTCAAGAGGGGAGTATTTTCAATATGAAGCTAAGATCAAGAACACAGGGATTTGACCTCAAACTAGCAGGAGGAAAATTCAAAACTAATCTTAGGAAGTGTTTTTCTGCCTAGAGAGTAGTTAATGGTTGGAATTTTAGCAGAGGTAGTGAGTCAATCAACAGTACGTAAGTAGATTCAACATGCTTGGAACAACTCAAACACTCAAACAACAAAGTAAAAATATATATATATATAAATAAATCATATACTGTATATTATAATTTAATAATAACAATCATTTATTGATATATATAAATAAAAATATCAATGAAAAATGGGGCAGTCTCAATGGACCACATTTTTTTTTACTATTACTGTTCTAGGTTTCTAATTGAGAAAAGTTAGTGAAGGAGGTGAAGCGCTGCTGGCTTCTGTCATCCAATCATGTGCATGCAAAAATACAGGTTTTTTTTATTTTCCTTGCACTTTATGGGCTTTTTTTGCAAAGGAATATCACCACATTATGTAAGATAAAGTGCAGCACTAAATAAAACAATTAGAGAAATGATCACAGTAAAATCCAAATAGGAATGAGTCTATGGGTATATGGTAAGGTGAATCCAGAAGTAGGCAGAAATCTATATGCTGGTGCTCTGAAGGAATGATAAGATTGCACACTTACCAGATGCGCATAGGGTATACGCATTAATATATCCACCTCAGGGCACTTAGGGTATGAGGTATGGTAGGTGTATGAAGAACATCCTTCTAGGAATGGGTGAAGTCTGCTTAATCCAGAGGTCCCTTCTGAATCTCAAAACCAGGTGAAGTTGTGTTTCACTGTTCCATATATCTTCTGCTAATGAAGTCCTGATTGAACTTGTATGAGATGCTCTGGAGTCCTTCTTACACCACAACTCTGCAGAAGCACATTCCCACAAGGTTTGAGATCTTCAGCTTTCCCAGAATCTCATCAGAAGGCTGAGTGACATCACTAGAACCTTGCCAGCTGCACACCTCCCACAGGACTCTGCTGATTCCAAAGCACAACCTGTCCACCTTTTCCCTAACTGGAGGCAGCCATGAGTGGGCATTTCCCAGTGTTTCCCTGTAGATGGGTGGTCATGGAAGAAGCAGCTGGTATACACTCCTAATAAAAGGTTTAAAAAGGAATCTAACTGAACACTAACAATACAGCAGATAGCCTGGTTGTTGTTAAAACTTAATGCTAGGTTCACACTATTGTGTTCTGTGTATAGACATCCCATTTGTTTTTCAGTAAGCTGCTCTTCCCACAGAAATGCAGGGAAAGAAGTTTCTGACTGTTCTTTTTTTAATCACACAGCACTAAGCTGCATGGGCGCCAATGCTTGGGGGAGCCATTTAGAACTAATAAAAACCCCATCCATTCGCTAGAGTGTAAAGCGTTTCTCGTCGGGTTGGGAACACCCGCACAAATGTAAACCTAGCCTAAATTATTGCTAATATTAGGGGGACATATGGTATGAATAATGGCTTCCCTCAACTTTGCATATCCTGATGATTGTGCTTACTCTTGTAGTCTGCTGTTTATACTTTTGTTGATGATACCATGAATGCTGGATGTCTTTAAAGGATAAGTTCACCTTTTGCTAAAGAATAATAAATATACATTTTTTTTGCAGGTGAAAAAATGCGCACTTATTCTTTTTTGTAAACCAGATCGCTGATGCCATGCAGGTTTCCTGCAAACCTGTCAGTATATCTGCTTGCCTGTACAGGATTTTCATTGAGAACTACATTGAATGTTCATTGAGAACTACAAGCCGACAGCCGCTATGTTCAGGCACTTGTAGTTTCTCATTCACAGAGGATGGTGAATGAATTAATCTTTTACAGCAAGTGGGGGGAGAGGATCCCCCGCTAGCTGTCAAAGCAGAGGAGCGGAGGCTGGTCTATATATAACTGTCAGCACCTGTGGTAGTGAGCTCTTGTTGAAACCCAAATTGGGGTTCCCCAGGGCGTGGAGTCTAAGCCCCAGCCTGCTTCTTAACCAGAGCCCCTGATGGCAGGGATGGACTTGCAGCAAGCTGGGACCAGGTCGCGGTCCCCAGGTACACCCAGCTGAGGTGGAGGAGACCGCTCGCGAGACCAGGGTATAATGGGAGGAGACAAATGGAATCTGATAGGCTAGCTGAGGTCAGGACAAGAGGAAAACAAGCAAGGTCAGAGAACGAAGCCGGGGTCGGTACACAATGTAGGATTCAGATAGTAGTAATACACAGAAGCTGCGACAACTAGGATGTTGCTCAGGCAAAGTGGCCTAGTCTGAGCATGTCTTATATAGACAGGCAAACAAGGAGGCGGGCCAGGTAGTTTTGGAAGGGAAGGAAATAAAACCCAGAGGACAGCAAATGACGCCCATAGATGAGCACAGACAAACACATGAGAAGGGATCAGGAACAGGACTGTAGCAAGAAGGTAAGAACACAAACAAGAAACTGCAGGCTAACTTGTGACAATAACATGTTACATGTTACACGTTGAATAGGGGTGTAATACGTACCATGTTATGAAAGGTGAACGTATCCTTTAAGGCTTTAAGTCAGATTTAATGGGTTAGCAATGGTGTCTACCCACTTTATTTCAATACTTTCAAAAGCTTTTAACACACTAACGTTTGAGGGAAAATATGTAAAAATTAAGCTGTTTTAAAGTAAGACCTGTGAACTTCCTGTCCTTGCAACAAGTGCTAAGTACTTAGATGTCAACTGTCAAAAATGTCTTTGAACCGCTTAAATGGTTCCAAATATTTTATTCTGCTGCATCGCTTTTAAAACTAGCATAACATATTGTCATCATAAATTGGACTTATAGTAACAGTACACTGAGATCTCTCTGGTCAGAACTACAATATATGGCATGCTGAATGTAACCATCAATTTTGTATTGTGTTCTGCAAAATGATTATCCTCCAATGACAAAATATCTTGGAGTATTACCTTTTCATCCTGTCTCCTGGAAACATTTTGTTTGATGATTTCCTAAATTAACTTCCCATTTATTTATAATTCAGATTGTGTAATTGGTACAGGATAGTCATTTCATCCTTTCAAAATAAAGAGAGTGATC